TATAATGTTTAAGAAATAATATAGTGCAGTGCTTAAGCAGTGACGGAAAGGAGTTGGTGTGTGGTATTATCCACCCATTTCACGATGCATAGTTGTCTTGTTTAACATAATCACACGCGTTATAGAGTGAGGGACAGCTCAATTGCAAGATTTGTTCTGGATTCTTTGGCATTCAGGCTGCAATTATTTCCCACGGATTCTGTCTTAGAAAAATAATAATCTAGAACTTGACCTTGCAGTTTTAATATTCAATTATTCATGAAGAGGAAGTATATATACATATTATATTTTGCCAATTGGTAACCATCATGATGAGCTGCCTGAAAATGAACCAGTGATGAATTAACGCGGTTTTGTAATATGCCAAAAACCTTAAAAATGGCTGGTGAGATGGGACTGTAGGAAATTAATTGTGCTTTAATCTTCTTCTTTTTTTTTTTTTTTTTTTTTGGTTGGGTGCGAGTCAAGTCGTGCTCTCACTTCACACGCCAGAGATATCAGTTTGACTATTTGAGGCCTGTTTTTTTTTTATAGATATAAATATGCAGTGAGTGAGTTGCTGATGTGTTTCGAAATTATTACATACCTTCTGGAATTTCCAGTTGAACGTTTTCAACAAAGTTATTATTTGCCTATATGATGCTCTACTACTATCTCATCACGAATTTATTTTCGGGTGAAGCCTCAACTTCCTTCATTCTTCCTATTCCAATTCAAAATTATTTATTAATGGAAGTCACTCTGCTCAATTTCAATCAGTTGAGCTAATAATGGGGAAAGAAGCATCAAAATAAGCAAAACAAAACAAAAAGCATTGGCCAAATGAGTACGCAAGAGCCCTACATAAGAAGATTCATCCAATTGTGAAATTGCATTGAGGAATCAAAACCAACTTTCTTCATTGTGGATATACTCTTTCTATGAATATCGTACTTCTTTAGGATTGCACATCTTAAAGTTTCGGATAAGCAGAAGTTAGTAGCTAGCTCTCATAACTAGTACTGCATATGCATGGCTCCCTCCAGACCACACAGCTGAGTCTATGGACATACATTGTGCCACTTGTTTATCTTTCTTGTTTTGTTCAAGCAAAATGTTCATTCAAATTTGAAGGGATAATGGTTTAACCTAATTTAGTATTTGTATAAGCTGAGTGGAATATATGCTTTCAATATGATATTGTTTTGGACTTTAATTATATAGTGGAAGCCCATGTGTCTTGAAAAGTGCTTGTAACCCAAAAAAGTGATGAACTTTTTTTTTATTCCTTTTTTGTTTAATGTCTGTAATTTATGTGTAAGTGGAATAAAAGGATAATATTTCAGACGGGTCGTATTATAGAATATCTGTATGTGTATCAAGAGAGGTTTCCCACTCCACGCAATAAAAAGAGTGATTATTAATCCATAATATTTCCTGAATGTTTAAGCATAAATGTGGAAAATAAGTTAAATATCTAATATATGTATTGTAGAACCCATGTTTATGGGTGTACAATAGCATAACCATGTTGTGGCAAGTGGGGGCGCAAGAAAGTGTTTCCTATTAATTTAGCCCAAAAGTCTAATTGCATTCATTGGTTTTTTTTTTCTTCTAAAGGTGGGAACAGATAAAGGTGTTTGATGAAATGTTTCAAACGGAGAGACTGTGGAGCCGGTTGCTAATGTAGGTATATGATATGTGAGAGAGAAGAAGACGGCGAGATCACAGTGATCTCGATGGTGTGTGGCGCGGGGGGGGAAGCGTTGCGCACGCGGTTTTGTAGTACGAGAAGATGATAATAGGTCATTGGGCTGAAAACCATGATCGCCATGTGGAAACCACAATGAGCAAATGTGGAGGTTCCCCTAGCCACACTCTGATCATTTGCATGACTTTAAGGACTCGAAAAGACCCCAACATGGCTCCCATCCCACGTTACGCCGTATAATGTCCTCATGCACATATATATATTTCATCTTCCCTTAATTTCTTTGTTAGATCTTTATAGCTGGACTTCCATGCAGTTAGGTCTACCAATTAGTATGTATATACATGAAAAGACCGGTACCGGTAACAAAAGTACGTATACACACAATGTTTTCTTCAGTAACATTCATAGATTTGGAGCTACTACAACAAAAATTGAATGATGATCACTTTAGATGTGAAATATATAGCATGAAGATGTTGATAGCAAAGAGTGAGGTCATCGATTGACTGGAAACTAGAGGTCACGTATACTTGTACCGTGCGTAACACATAATTGATTAGCTGGGCTCTTGGACGTATATACGACATGTGTTTGGTTGGAAAGTACTCAGTTTTGTATGTATTGTCATGCCACGTACTATAAACGTTTGTGTTTGTGTTTGTGTTTGTGTGTAAAGGGAGAGTGAAGAAGAAAAGAAGTGAAGGCCAGCTAATAGGTAAGCTCTTGGATGTGACTCAATTAAAAAAGACAATCGAGCCGTATATATATGAGGAGTTCGAAGTCAAAAAGTTTAATACGAAGTCCAATGAGATAGCATTTCTATGTTGTTACTTTTGTCCTTCGTTGCAGAGTTTTGTACCGTATTGGAGTTATGCTTCTGCAACAAAGCAAGAAAATAATACCATGCTTTTTGACCTGACCATCTTAAATTATTTTGCAGGCTTTTCTTGTTGCGAGGCCACATGACATGAGGTACTCTCAATAACCCAAATGGGAAAATTTACTTAGAGAAGAAGCTACGAGACTGTAAAAATTGCCAGAATTATTATGCTATTCCAAGGCCACTTTGGAGACTCCAACACTCAAACGTTGTAGCTTTTAATAACACTGTCTTGTTGTCGCATCAACATATCAAACACAGATTAACACCCGGAGGTTCATTCGATTCGATTTATTTAGGAGATGACAAGATGTTGCAGCAGGCAATACATGCACACTTGGTCCTCTCAAGTCAAAGATTTCCAGTCACGGGCAAGCCCTAATTCTTCACCATAATTAATGATGCAGAAACTATGCCGGCCGACCCATGCGTGCTGTCTTATTTTACGGCTCTTCAACATGTGATGTATGTTCACGTGAGGAAGAGAGTTTGATGCCAGTCCAGGTGAGGAATGGAAAGGTGGCGTTTTCAAATTAGGAGTCGGGACAAGATCGGATCGATAAAAATTTCGGCATCACGTGTTAAGTAACAAGATGTATTCAGGTTTGTTTTGTTTTGTTAAAACTAATTATAAATATTGTTGGTGCGTAAAAATGGTCGAACACTTTCGGGCCCAACATAGAGATGATGTCGTCTTTGGCCTCATGGGTTCTTCAGCAGAGGAAGTGATCTGCAAAGCAAATAATGAATGATGGGTCATTGGGTATCGGCCGAAAACTCTTCGATGCTATAGTTGCTTTTAAGGACAAAGTGAACAGTGATATAGACAGAGTAATGGCTAAATAGCCGAATGTAACAATTATCTCGTTTGGGGAACTTGTGCCCCTTTTTATAGACTTCGGAGGGTGTGCGTCTTGAGTAAGATTTCGATGTAGGACTGTGGGCATTGCCCGATAGGGTGCCACATGTTCTTCTGAGAAATTACTAGCGAGGCACATTCTTTTGGCGTGCTATGCAGGATGGGTTGCCGAAGGCTTATCACCTACCGATGGTATTCCGTGGGTCAAAATGCTTTGCCGAGCTATATGCGCTCCCTTTGTGGATCCTTTGTTTCACATGTCACATTTTGATTGGCTGGTCAGATATGGTATAAACAAATATAATCTCAAATATTCAACACGCACAATATACAAGTCATACATATCCAACAACCAACCTACAGACTTCAGGCCTTCATTATACAACATCAATCATCAATATAAATTGGGTCTCAGAACAACTTAAATAAGTTTCCTAGATCCATCTTGACATAATTGAAGATAACACAAAATAAGATATTTAATTGAAAAAATGACACGTGTTCGAGTTCGATGAAAACTTTTATTTCTTGAAGAAAATGCATTTTGATAGAGAATATCCTACCATTGAAAAGCCCATCAAGTTAGCTCAAGTAGCGAGGGAGTGTAGGAAAATAGATTAGAAATAGATTTAGGATATGTTAACGGTTCAATCTCTCAAATATAACCAAATGGTACCCTATTATAGAAACAGTCAGGACAAATTTTTCTCACGTTGGACACCTAATCGTAGGTCCAAAATCCACTCATTTCACATCAAAGCCCAAGGACCCCATTTTTTTTCTCGTACAAAAGAGTTTGGAGCATGTCATCTTATCTCCAATTTTATCGGATGTGCCAAGGGGGAACAAGAACCCCTTTAAATGCAATAACACATTTGAAAGGGCCAACCAAGCAAAGCAAAAATAGGATGGAAATTGTCCGTGCGACACCTAAGCTAAGCCTAGGTCTTTTTAATGGGATGGAGCTTTTTGCATCATGCAGGCTTTATGTCTCCCACTAAATCTGCTATCTTATCCTTGAACTCCATTACCACAACAGCTTGGAAGAAGATGAACCTTTTTTTCTTCCAGTACCGTCTACAACAACACAACTATGATGTTGTTCATGTGCTTTTGTTTTGTTTTTTTGGTACAACATAATGGACTTGATTTAGTGGATGGGATGAGGATATCCCAGCCGCCCACCCTACCCCATTTCTCAAAGGAGAAATAATTGTTAGACACAGCCAACAAATGACATGATATTTTCTCTTTGAAAGTATTGTCGGGGGTGATTCAATCAAAGAATCTCGGGTGCATGGATAATTACTCTTAACCACTTGAGTTACAAGTCCATATTGCCCTACCCTATCAATCAAAAGTTTAAACTTGGATAAAATAAATAAATAATGCAAATAATAACTTGAGATGTTTGGCCACCCTTTACTTAGTTCTAAGCTAAGAAATGGATTAATATTAATATTAAGCTAATAAATTCTTTGACTAACATCACTATTACCTATATTACAAAAGTGAATCATGAATATAAAAATCTGAAAAATAATAATATGGTGTGTTGCTCTCTTCTTTTTGACAATTCAGAATAGATGAAATCCTAAATTCAATTCATATTGAAAAAACTGGGGAGGAAATAAGAACCCGCAAACCTCCACATCAAAGAATTCGCTCAAGAAAAACTAATTTAGCCGACACATCTGAGCACTAATTCAGGCTTCACTTCCCAAAACAAATTCAATGAAAGAATAAACACATGAAAAAATAAGGTTAGACGGATAGGGGTAAAGATTCCTAAAAAAGTTTATGTTACTGTACCGAGCAGCTTCAAGATATATGTCAAGATGTCAATTGAATGACTTGAGGTGAAAAACTTGGCAGCTTGAGACATATGACATCTTTGTTGCGGCCAGTTTAAACTTCATGGCGGCATCTTCGTTCTCTTCTAAACTAATCTGACCAAAATACTTAGACCACCAGGATGTGCTCCTCAATTTAGCCTTCGGAAAGAAAACACTTCAATATGTCAGTTATGCAGTGAATGAAAACAATTATGTAAACCCCCAATAACAATATGAAAAATCAAAGACAAGGTAGAACGACGAAATAAAAAGAAACATTAGAAGGCAGAAGGGTATAAAGACATGGACAATGAACATAAAATGTTTTATCCTTTTGACATGTTCAAGGTTCGAAGAACAACTGAGCAGTTACTTACCGCCTTCCCAAATTTGGAGACCTCAGCAGCTTTAGCTCTCTGCTTACGAGGATAGCCTATATGGAAGATATCAAACATCTCATTAGGCCGACAGATTCGTAAATTTCTCCCACTAAGATGTGGATTTTGTATTGCTACTTGGCACAAATAAAATACTCTGTTCCTGATATGAAAGAAGACAAAATCTTCTCGAAGAACCAGAAATACATCTTCAAAATAGTAAGAGGCAAAACCAGGTGGACTATACGGCACCCAAACAGGCACATTTTATCAAAATGAAAAGAAAATACTTTTGTCACCTTCCTAGATTCGACCTGCTCACAAGTTGTTACAAAAGAAGACAGGTTACAGATCTCCAAATCCAAACTAAGGACCTTCACTGTAAGATGACGACTCCATAAACATATGAAATCAGGCTTATACGGATTTGAACATCAATAGTTCAGTAGAGGTTGGCCATCAATGAGGGGCATAGAATTGCAAATGATGTGACCATAATCAGGTAAAAGAACCTCAAGGATAGAAGCGCAGCCTATAAATGTATAACGAAACGCAAAATACATAAATGTATTTAACAAGTAGACATAAGATCTTACCAGTAAAGACCACAAGACCATCAACTGATACCCTTGCCAGATCCGGGAGGGTCTTGTTGAGGTATTTATCCGACAAATAATCCAACGCATCTGAAACAAGTACAATAGAAAACGACTTTTCCCTGTATGGAAGCGGATGCTTGATATCAACAACACGAACTATGTCTTTGCGCACAAGAGCTTTACAGCTTCTACCAGCATCCTCTACATCATAAGGTTCCACACCCCATGCTTCAGTTTCTTCCTCACTCAGCAATGTAGAAACCACTGCACAAGTATCAGGGCCAACGTGCAAAACCTTATGCATGCTGTCACCATATGCTTTCTTCAAAACAGGAATTGCTCGTTGGACCTCCGCTGTGCATGAGTAATCACCTGCAGCTAAAATCTTCATATGAGGTGACTTAAAAACAAGTTCATAGAACAGCAAAAATATAGCAAAATTATGAATGCATGAATTAAATCGCCAGCTGCTTGTCAACTCATACCATTTTCCAAAGCTAGAAACTGGGATTAAATTTCACAAACAAAAACATAATTGCTAGTGTTGCGACGGTTTTAAACATTTTCACACAAGAAGATACATATTGTCTTTAATGCAAAAGACCATTTGTTGTAATTTACTCCCAAAAAAAAAAAAGTTTTGTGCCATGGTCTGGTACAAAGGTATAAATAAATAAATAATTTAAGAAATATACAGAGCATATACAAAATATACCTTCAACCCTGCTAACAACCCCTTTAACGATGCTACCACCTCCACCTACATGCAGTCACAAATACATAACATGAACAATATCTATCAGACCAAAAAATAAAAATATTATGAAATGAAGTCAAATTCATTACGCATTAAGCAAGACAAATCGATATGTAAAATCAAAATAAAAGCAAACGGCTACCAACCTCTGCCGCCGTTGTATGAATAGGCAAGAAGAAGCAATGCTCCCTGAAAATTCATCATTACCATTATTCAAATGATCCCAAAATTATTTCTTCAGCCCACAAATTAAAATAAAATAAAATAAAAGGAAATTGAATGTAAATTAATTACCACGGCGATAAGTGCGACTGATAAGATCGGAGAAGACCTCGACTTAGAATAGGCAGAGCCTGAGAGTAAAGAGCCTCCATTGTCCCCAAATCGCCGAGACGGGTTCAAATTCACATTCACTGGCCTCCGAGACATGGCTTTTCGGACTTTGCTGTTTTATATGTATCTCTGCCATAATTAATTCATTAATCACTAACTAATTAATTAAATTTGCATTTGCCAAACACATCTGTCAACGAAATTACCAGAAAAAGAGGCGTTAAAGAACCCACATTGGATCGGATTTGCCTGCTGCTGACTCAGTGAGTCTCTGTGCTATGAGTTGGGAGTTGAAGACGATGGCTCGGTTTTTATTTTTTTGGTTCCAAAATCTAATTGGTTTGGGCCGATTGGGCCCATGAGCCTACGGCCCACAAATCACACAAGCCCACATCGCCAAGATTGGAGATCGGTTTCTCTGCTCAGATGTGTCTCCAACTCCATTTCCACTGAGAATTTGAGAGAGAGTCGTATTCCAAGGCGGTGTAAGCGACTCTGTGAGGAAATACAATTCATAAAAGTCCTCCTTTTTTTTTTCTTTTTAACAGGAAAAACCCTAGCCATGGTTGTTGGGTTTCGCGAACATTTACAGTAACAATTGTTGAATTCGATAGCCAAAGCTTGTGACTTTGCGGGAAAATGAGCGACGATGATGGTAATCGGAATAGGAATAAGAATGGCCCGTGGACGCCGCCAAACAGACCCTACCAGGAGAGAGAGGAAGACATGAAGATTTGGGGAATTCTGGTGTTTGGTCTAATTGGCGCCACCGCCACAACTCTCGCGGTAAGTTCAATTATCTTCATCTTCCTTCTTGTACGAGTGTGAGGCCAATAGGAATTGAGAATTGAGAATTGTGTGGGAATTTGGCAGGTTTCACAGCTTCGTAGGACTGTTGATTGGGTCTATACTCAGGTAGATTTCGTATAAATAATGGGTTTGTCTGCCATTTTGTAAATTCGAAGCCTTTTGTTATTTGTGAACCGAAAGTTCTATGCTTGAGATGAAGTTTAAGAGACCATGGTTAATGTAGTTAAAAGTGCTTAATTAGAAAGTAATCCTGTTCTTTTCTTTTCTTCTTCTGAAATAAAAGTTAATATGTGCGTTAGTTTGTAGTTCTTACTGGAGCTGATCATGTTTTTTATTGCATGGAAAAAGTTGTTCAGATCACAATCATCGTGGAAAGGAGGAAGCGGTAGTTCATTCCGGACATCCTTTCAGGAGGAAGCATGGAAAAAATATAATCGTCGCATGCAAGAGGAGTATGAGGAAGAACTGGAGAGAGTGGTGAGTTTTCATTCTAATTTCTATTTTGGTTTTCAGATTTACTTCTCGGCAACTATCTGTTAATCAAGCAAACGTTGATTGTAAAACTCTGTTAATGTTTTATTTATTTATTTGTAATACTGAAATCTTCCGCCAAATTGCCATTATTGTAAAACTCTCAGAGTGCTGTTTTTTAGCCAATTGCTGTGTTGCCTTTACTCGAACTTTTTTTTTATTGTATATCTCTAAATGCAAAAGGCATACACAAGTCATCACATTGCATCCTGAAAACCTGCTGAGCTCAGAATTAATATTGTCAACTCCAATGTTAGAGTAGTTCTTAGTGCTTGCCTTAAAATGTCAACTCCCTCTCCCTCTCTCTCTCTCTCTCTCTCTCTCTCTCTCTCTCTCTCTCTCTCTCTCTCTATAACAAAGAAAGCATCCCTAAGATGACTCAAAGGGTTGTTTTTAAAAAAAAAATCATGATTGTCATCTGTAGGAACGTATTAGGCGTATGCAAAGTGTGTTCAATAGAGAGAGGAACAAATACAAAAGCAGCTATGAGAGCTGGAGGGAAAATGGTCAAGGTGCATACCATCAACATTTCCAGCGAGAAGATTGGTATTGGAAAACTGATACATCCTTCAAAGACCGGAGGAATAACTACAGGGAGACTCCTAGGGAAAATGCAAGCTATTTATTATCGCATCACTACTCAATATTAGGCCTTGACAGGTAAAGTTGGTATCATGCATAGATCTCCTTTTCTGTGTATTGTTGATAGTCAATATCTGGCTGATGTACCAAGTTGAGTTTATATAATTTTAAGATGTAATGCTTATGCTTCGTAATGCTGGATTCACTTTGCAATTCCGTCCCATGTTCAGAGGATCAGATCTGTCAGACATGTATTTGCATGATTCCCCAATCTCATCAATAACGTAAACAATAACATAAACTTGACATTTTCACTTCTCTTCTTTTTTGAACAGGTTTAGAAAGGCACCTTACACGGATGCTGAGATTAAGGTATTCCCTGTGTTTTGACGTACTGTTAACAGTGTTAAGAGCTAATAGATTTTGTCCTCTGTATTTTCCCCTATTAATTTTATGACTGTAATTGGATGTTGGCTGTACCTCATGACGTTTTTTTTGTGGCGGAGATTATGATGGACCTGCTATAACTTCGTGTCAAATATAACAAAAGAGATCATAGGTTCAAACCACAACAAAAACTTGTAGTTCTGATACGCGCGTTGTATTGAAGTTCCAGCAGCTGTTACTAGAGTCTAATCAATTAAAGAGTTTCATAGAGTAACTGAGTCATTTCTTTTGTGTTCTTAAACTTGTTTTATTCTTGCAGACAGCGTTTAGGACCAAGGCAAAGCAATTTCACCCAGATCAAAACCAAGATAATAAAGGTGGGGTATTCTTGGCCATTACCGAATTTTGTTAGCTGATGCCATTGCTTTGCGTTGAAGTTCAATGCTTGTCTTTTGTTGCAGAGGCTGCTGAAGCAAAGTTTAAAGAGGTAATGACGTCCTACGAGGCCATAAAGAAAGAGAGGGGAAACATGAATCTGTGAACCGGCTGATACAGCCTGCGATTTTTGAGACGTTGAAGGGTGCAGGGTTGTGCAGTATTCAACAGGGCACTTCCACCTTTTCTTTGCATTATTAGTTAACAGCAAGAACATAATTCTGAGTAGATTAATCTTAGCCTTTTGATAAAGAATTTGAAAGTTCGTTCTTGATGTTGTATATCATATGGCAATAATTGGTGATTTTTTTTTATACCCACATAAAGTAAAGGCGGGATTTGTATTTGGATTTTGGAGAACTTGCGACTATGCATGCATAGGCTTTGTAATATATTGTTTTAACAATTTTCCAAAAATTATGTGATGTATATAATTAATTGAGTTCTTTTATTTGAGTGTGATTAACTGAAAAATAATTCAGTAGAATTTATTTTGTTTACCATGTGGATGTTCTTTGCTTTTTTATCTTTTTTCTACGAGTTGAATTTGATCCTTAAATAAAATAAACAAATAAATAAACTATGGAGGACATTAGAAGTTTTTTTCTTTCAATTATGTACTTGAAAAAAAAAATGAAGGAATAAACACATAGAAAGAACGAGTCCTAGAAAACAAAATCTGCGGTTACTACAACAAATCTCTGTTTTTCGCATTCACCACCCTCCCCCTTCAACTTCGCACAAGGAATGGCGGGTGGCAGTCCAAACCGGAGCCTCTGCCGGCAGCACGGTTTTCTCAAAACCTTCAATTTATGCTATCTTCAGTCTTTTTCATTTGCTTCTCACTTGAGACAGGTGCTCTGTAATATGCTGGAACAGTAGCGGGAAAAAACATTTGTCTAACTCCTTCGGCCTTAATTATGGGGAATATGATTCCCGAGGCACTCTGCAGCAGAGAAACTTGTCTGGTCAGAAATCATATAAGCATCTCACTAGTGTGAAGAAGGGAAAATACAACCAATTTATACTCACGGAAATTAATCTGGCTCCAATCCAGGCGCGTTTAGGCGATGGAAATGGCAGCAACAGTCGACCAACACCGTATACTGCAACAGCGAAGAAATGGAGAACCAAACTCAACGGGCGAGGGTTGAGTCCCGAGAGTAGAGATACTGGTCCGTTAGAGAATACACCCCCGAGACTTAGGTAATCGAAGCAAGCCTGGCGCATTTCCTTCCTCGCTTGATCAGGTGAAGAAGAAAAGACCTTGTAAAGGGCCCCTGCCAATGTATTTATAGTGGATGCCACTGGCTAAAAATCGAAGGATTATAGAATTTAGATAGCGCAGAACTTCGTGTTTTAAAACACCAACATATTAATATAACTTACCTTGCGCAGAGTGTAAAACGATTCAAGATATTTCGACAGTGTGGATGCATCATTTAGGTTGGTCAAAGGCCTGAGAAGATTCTGCAGCACAACGATATCAGACAATGCCACGGTCATTCCTCCCCCTGTTAGAGGGTGGCGCATGTTGAATGCATCTCCCATCAATAGTGCTCCAGGAGTAGGATAGGGAGCGGCTGGCATGCTTCTGTTGGGCATTGTCCTTATGGTACCCTTGTCAACTGCAGCTATGAAGGCATCATAAAGTTGAGGGGGAATCTGCAATTGAAGTGCAGAGAAAACATGAAACCAAATCCTGGATTTAATGGGTAAATAGAGATGCAGAGAAGAAAAAAAAGTTCAATAAAGTCATAAAAAGCATATATATATGTACGGTACCTGAGGAGCCACCACAGCCTTCAAATACTTTGCCATTTCACCATTTGAAATGGAAGGAACTTTTTGTCCAGGTACATCAACCAGACAGCGAACCTCTGTACTACTGATTTGATAGAACAAAATAGGAGAAGGGTCTGCTAATATAACATGTCCGTGATTTGCATGCGGAAGATCGCAGTTCTCCAGGATTAACCCAACAAAACAAGAAGGCACATCCACCTGCAGAAGACAAAATTAATAAAAAGAAGTTGAAGACAGCTCTAGGCATTAACAAAGAAAGTTGAATGTCACATATGTTTTTAGTTACTTTGCAGAAAAATATAATGCTATATATCCAAACCTCACCTTAGGATCACAAAGAGAGCGACGCAAGTTGGAGAAACAGCCATCACAAACAATAGTAAGAGGTGCATATGCTGTCATCTCTTGGCCAGTCTTATTCTTGTATTGCACACCTTTAATTGTTCCCTTTTCTTCAAGCAGAGAAGTAACTGTTCCTTGCTCCAATTGCACGCTAAAGAAAATAAAAGAAAAGGGAAAGCATAACTACAAGTGAATAGAAAGTCTCCAAAGAAATGAAATATATTAAACAATAGCACGTGAAACTCGCCACTGAGTCAACAGGCAGAAACAAACAGTATAAAGGAAACCAACATTTGATTTGTATCAACCAAGGGAGAAAATGCATACTTGGGAAGAGTTGCAGCCTTCTCCCGCATCCTCTGTATGAAACGGCCATTGTGGAAGCTCCTTCCAGACACATCTGAGTGAAATTTCTCCAAGGGGTAAGAGAGTCTGGTATTTTTCCCGTCCTTGAAAAGGGCATAGCCAAACACCCGCTGAGCATCAATTTCCTCCACACAATCTGCAGTCAGATATAATTCAAAGTCCATTAACTAATGATTTCTGCTGTAATTCAGTTAATCAATTCCAACTAATTCACTATGAAACAGAAACTTGCTGCATAAACATATACATCTCCATGGTTAAAAAGTTTGAATGAGACTACCTTCTAGTCCCAGCTCAATTAATTTGAGGTAGCCTCCAGGTTGTAGTAGTTCACCAACAATTCGGTCTGGCTCTTGCAAGTCTCGTTCAATCACATGAACTCGACGTCCATCCTACAGTCCAAAGTAAGTTCATCAATTTCCAAAAGAAATAACTTGCACTAGAAGCAAACCAGATAAAAGAAAACTAAGCAATTGCCATCTCCCTTAGGGCGTCTTCAGCTTTGATGTTTGTTTTTTGTTATTGAAAAAAGTATGGATACAATGTAAAAAAATTAAAAATTAAAAGTCAGGCACGAATATGAGCTTGAAAATTAGGCTGCAAAGTACATCAAAGCTTAATTTCAATCCATGATCAACGTTGTAAGCTTGAATCTGGTCAGTAAGACAAAACCTCACAGAAGTGCAGGCCCTTGTAATTACAGGACTTAGTGGTAGTTGGTAACAGATGGATTACTTAGTCTACATTCTTTTCTTTTTGGTGGGAATAGTATGTCGTATTAGACTCTTCATATATAAGGAATATACTTTTGACAGCAACGCATTCTGTCCTTTACAATCCCCAGTCCTAGCTGGTAGACAATACAGGACATATAGTAGTTATTCAAACGTAATGTTTGAAACAATAATCTAAACAACAAATATAAAAGATTGCAGAAAGATATATTCCTTTAGATTTGTACCTCTACCTGTACGAACTAGACTTTAACAGCACACTTGATCCAATCAAAAGGTCTTAGTATTATCAATTAAAATTAAACACATAGTCATTGATCATATGTATTTTAACTAGGCAACCACTTACAATTTTACCAAATATCTTACCAGCATCTACAGGCAATAAGTTCATATATAAAGTTTTGACAGTAACTATGCAAGTGATGCAACAACCTCTTCGAAAACTATAAAATTATTAGAGACCATAACAGCAAATTGAAACCATGATCTTTGTTCATATTCTAGCATGATTATCAGAGATGATGTCAGATTAAGTCATAAAGGTGTAAGCTACCTAGATGACATTTAAGCAGGTTTGTTTACTTGTTAAAGCTTAATTCAGAAGGTTATTAGAGTTATTCTGTATAATATGTAGGTGTACATGGTGCCCGTGTTTGTGTGTCACTGTGTTTGTAATTAACCTTAATTTTATATTAAATCAAGAGCGTCTGCTTTTTATTTTTAAGCTTTTCAAAAGAATTCAAGCGCGTGTGCCTCATCGCACACAGCAATCGGAATACCATTCTGATTCAAATCAACAAGAAATGAAAACAAATGTGTTTGTTTGCCGAGAAAATGAAACTCAGAGGCTCAAACGAAGCATATTCTCTCACCTTGCCGAGAGTGTGAGCCAGAGCGGCGCCGGCGACGCCTGCTCCGACGATTATAACGTCGACATCCCTCTTCACCAGCGTTCTGTACAGCGCCACGAGGCCCAGAACAGAGGCCAAGATCCATCCAAGCAAGTACTGATCCGCCATTTCTCCTCCGAAAATGCGAACTCGATCGAAGCTCTCAGAGACTACAAGAGGACGAAACGACGACGCGTCTCTCTGTTTCTCACTATGTGTCTCTCTGTATTGGCTTTTTTATTGATGCGTCTCTCTGTTTCTCACTCTGTGTCTGTCTGTATTGGCTTTTTTCTTGATGCGTCTCTCTCGCACACGCACACATACACTCTCTTCTCTCGAGTCTCTGGCTCTTCGCTGGCTCTTTGCCTTTTTTGAACGGTTATATGTTGTTGCAACGGTGCCACGATATGTGTGTTGGCAGGGCATGTTCACTTTAAAGTAAATTTAGGTTTTAGTCATAAAAAAAAAATTTATTTTTAGAAAAAATCAAAATTTTTTCAAAAAAAACAGAAAAATTTCTTAAATTTCAAATTAAATACATATAAATATAAAGGATTCCTTATGAAATCCAAAAATAAATAAAGGTAATTTTGTTCATTTTAGCTTCTTTTAAAAAAATTCTCTCCCTTTTGCTTTTTCCAACGCCTCCATACTTCTTATAGGGCTCCACAAGTCACAACGACAAGTATGTCACAGCTGTACAATACGATGCGTTTGGTTGGATTTCTAACTTGTGCCACGTGATTGTTCTTGCTTTAGCTGTGCGTATTGAACCCCACGTTGACTGGTGCTTCACTATTATTCTAAGTTTTTATGTTTTTTTATATTTTATTATCACATATTATTGAGGGTGTACTCAATTAAGATTTTAAAAGAATTTTAAAATTCATGTGTATTCAATTAATATTTTAAAAGGGTTTGTACAAATTTGGGTGTATTTAATTGATTTTAAAAAAATACATCAAAATCTAGATGTATTCAATTTTAATTTTTTAGAAGTCAAACAAAGTTTATGTGTATTCAAAAAATCATTTATTTTGAAGTAAATAATGAGTTGTCCAATTTCATTAGAATTTAAAGTAGCAAGTATAAATACAAAATGCCTTAACAAATTTTATGTAAACCCTAGAAACTTTGAAAGTGCTTTACGTTTTCCAGTCTTTGAACTTGTGCTTGTGAAATGGAGGTAAAAAATTTCCTCTTTTTCTACTACGCTTTT